TCCTGGGGATCAAGCCTGCAACTCAGGCATGTGCCCAGACCTGAAACTGAACCTCCTGGTTCATAGGTCAACACTCAACATCTGAGCCAGGCCCTGGCTATGCCATTTTTAAGAAAAATCTGTCACTTAGTTGTTTTTTCCTCCAAAAATTACCATCCTAATTCAAGGAATACATTTATGTAAAAACCTGTAGTGGAACTAAATTTAAAAGATCATCTTGGCCCTAGCTGGTTTGACTCAGTGGATAGAGCATTGGCCTGCAGACTGAAGGGTCCCGGGTATAGTTCTGGTCAAGGGCACATGCCTGGGTGCGTGCAGGAGGTGGCCGATCAATGATTATCTCTCATCATTGATGTTTTTCTCTCTCCCCCTCTCCCTTCCTCTCTGAAGTCAATAAAAATATATTTTTCAAAAAAATTGTTAATTAAATCTCAATCATAGTAAACTTTCTCACTTAAAAAAATCATCTTGCCATTAAAAAAAAATAAACTCTAAATCTAAATCTGAAAAATAAAAGCATTTAAAAAAAGGATCCTCTTGCCCTGGCCAGGTGGCTCAGTTGGTTGGAGCATAGTTCCATATACCAAAAGGTTTCGGGTTCGATTCCCGGTTAGAGCACATACCTAGGTTGTGGTTCGATCCCAGGTTGGGGTGCATATGGGAGGCAACCCATTGATGTTTCTCTCTCACATCGGTTTCTCTCTCTCTGAAATCAATAATAATGAAAAAAAATCTTTAGGTGAGGATTTTTAAAAAAGAAAAGATCATCTTAGCCCAAACAGGGTTGGAATAGGTTCCCTAATTAAAACTCAAATATCAAGTTCAACACTGTATGATTGTTTAAAATTAGCAACTTATAAAAATACAATCAATACCATTTCACTGAATCTATGATGGCATCCACTGTGAGCTGCACCATTTTTATATACTACTAAAACAAACAAAACAATGCTGGCAATTAAGTTATAATTTAAGGTTTTCTTATGTCTCGAAATTTTTAATTTAAATTTCATGGAAACACACCTTTAGATACAATTTTATATATAACACCCATATAAACATAAAAAGGGAAACAAACACAAGCAGCATAAATTTAATATACTAGTAACCCTAAAATTTCTTCAGAGTTCAACTCTTGTGAGTCACTTTTTGACACAAGAGTTATCAAATATCCATTTTCTCATCCAATATTATTCTGTACAAGGATTTCTTAGATGCACTCCCCTTTTGTCCCCAATACATATTTTCTTACAAACCATTTCATGAGATACCATTCAGCAAGTTTTTCTTTTTATTGAATTTAGTGAGAAAGGGAGAGGGAGAGAGAAAAACATCATGATCAGTTGCCTCCCTCAACCTGGGATAGAATCCTCAAGCTGGAACTGAACCCACACTGGCCAGGGCCCATACAGCAGGTTTTAATGGTGGCACTTGCTTCATCTCATCAGGTGTCAAAGGAGTATTTTCAAACAACAAACACGAATGGTAGTGCTTCAAGTTAAACTGATTTGTTGGCTGAACGACTTTAGAGGTTGTAGTTGGCCAGTCATGCCACTAGGACAGTGATGGCGAACCTTTTGAGCTCGGCGTGTCAGCATTTTGAAAAACCCTAACTTAACTCTGGTGCCGTGTCACATATAGAAATATTTTTGATATTTGCAACCATAGTAAAACAAAGATTTATATTTTTGATATTTATTTTATATATTTAAATGCCATTTAACAAAGAAAAACCAACCAAAAAAATGAGTTCGCGTGTCAGAGGTGACATAGGTGTCATAGGTTCGCCATTACTGCACTAGGACAAACAGACAGGTGTGTACATTTGCAGGCAATTAGAAATAAAACATCGTCAGCTGTAAGAGGCATCTTGACAACAGAGATGTGAAAATGTGAAAACAAGTATGTGTTGAATCTAGGAGTATTTCATATTATGCAAAAGAAAGAAGCCTCAATTTTTTTAAAATTTTAAAAATGATTAGGATCAAGTGATCTAATAAAAACTTGTATCAGGAGCTTTAAAAGTTTCCATAATCTTTGTTACTTCACTTCTTGGACTCCATCCTAAATAAATAACCCAAATTAGAGCAAAAATTGATGCCCAAGCATGAATCTCAGCCCAATATATAAAAGCAAAATTGGGGGGGGGGTCTAAAAATCCAATAAGACAACTATTAAGTCAGCTAAGGAAACGTGCAGCCTTTAAATTCTTTTATTCAGAATGTAATAATATGTGAAGATGCTTAAACTATAATGTTAAATTAAAACCAAATAAAAATTGTAAACACAACATAATCTCAATTACATTAAAATGTATAAGAGAAAAAATTAGAAAGAAGAAAGTAAACTATTAACAGGGTTTGCGGCTGGGTACATAGCATGTAACTGCTTTCTTTTCTGTACTTCCAATTTTTCTGAAGTAAATATTATTTTTATAACCAGGTAGAAAAATAAAATAGCTATCTATAACAGCTGTGGTTCAGAGAAGTTGAGTAACTTGCCCTAAAGCAGAAGGGACTAAGTGGCAGTGAAGATTAAAACCTTTATATCCTAATCCCAGATCCAGGACTTTCCATTCTGCCACAGGTTCTCCCTAAGAATCACTTACAAGTGTCCTCCCTTTCCAAATCCCAGTTGTCCACAACTAATTTTCCCAAATAAACGTTATTTAGTTCAAAATTATTACTTCTAGCCCTAACCGGTTTGGCTCAGTGGATAGAGCATCAGCCTGCGGACTCAAGGGTCCCAGGTTCGATTCCAGTCAAGGGCATGTACCTTGGTTGCGGGCACATACCCAGTGGGGAGTGTGCAGGAGGCAGCTGATCGATGTTTCTCTCTCATTGATGTTTCTAACTCTCTATTCCTCTCCCTTCCTCTCTGTAAAAAAAATCAATAAAATAAATTTTTAAAAAAATTATTACTTCTAGAAATTGAAATATCAATGTGGCTATTTCATTAAAAATTACTGTCAAACTGACACTAATGTGGCACATTCTTGTAAAAAAGGAAAAAACTAATGCTCAAGTTGTAAACCAATTGTGTGAAAAATTCAAGAAATAAGTCAAGAGATGATATCCTCTTCACAAGTCATGGCCAGGGCACTGTACAACCTATTTTGAGCTGTGCATATAGTCTTTATGGGCTATAAAAGCCAGGCTAGGTAAAAGCCGGGTACAGCAACATGTTGAGTCTTAGATAATAAAAAGGCAAAAGGACAAAGTGCACCTAACCAATACACCTCACAAAATTTTTGGGAAGTGTATGAAACAAATATAGTTTATCTTTGCACTACAGAAATAATTTAAACTGGCTATTCTAGCAGTCAAGCCAAGATGTGGGTTTCTCTTTGTGTCAGTATTGGCTGATAAGAGTACATTACCAGCAGGCAACTGGCCAGTGAAGATAACTTTCAGCAGGAAAATCAAATCAATTCCACAATCAGAGCCCAATTTCAACTTGGCACAAGCTGGGTTGCTCAGTTGGTTGGAGCGTCCTCCTGACACGCCCAAAGTTTCGGGTTCCCTAAGTGGAACGACAAATCCACATCTCTCTCTCTTCTCCCCCTTCCTCACTCCCTCTCTCTCTCTAAAATAAATAAATAAATGTTTTAATTTTAAAATAATACACGGCAGCCGTGCCGCCCAGGAAAGGGGCATATTAAACTGCCAAGACACATGAAATACATGGAACTGTAGTTCAAATGCACATTTCAGAACATTGTCTTCATTCTAAGTGGTTACGTTACCAACCATCAACGTGGTCTTAAATAGCTTAAATTATTGTGTAAGACTTAGGATGAAATTTCTCTATGCAAGTTACAGCCCCCACCGACGTGTTTTTAATGTAGCTGATTTCATTCTTCAGTACTAGAAACATAACAAATGGTTGTTTCCCTAGACTGTCTTCAGCTAAAGCACGCGCAAGAGCATTCCCAGCGCGCAAACCCCGGCACACCGGGCGTTTATTTGGATGCGTGTACCCGGGCCAAGTCTGCGAGGAGCGGCACGGCCGTCGCGGGGCCTCGGAGGCGCCGTCCATCACACGCGTGCACAGCTCGAGTGACAGCGGCTACGGTCGCGGCCACGACACCGGCCACACCAGGCGGGAGGCTCCGGGACCAAGGCGGGCTTCTCCCCGCGGGCACATGAACAGCCGTTCAGCATCTCCCGGAGAAACACTGTTCCTCTTTCCCCAGCTCGCTCAGAAACCATCTCCTGAGTCTACCGAGTTCTTTCTCCGGGATTTTCTCGGAAGAGGTTTTCGGGGAGAAAACTCCAGCTTCAGGATTTACCACCGCACATCACGGCGATAAAAACGCACCTTTCGTCAACAGAACGAAGCCCCGCGAACGTACGTGACCGCCGGGCCGCAGAGGTGCCAGACCCCGCGCGCGGCTCCCGGCCTAGCGGCGCAGGCCCACGCGGGCTGCGGGCGGGCGGCCCGGCCTGGATGGCTTTGGGCGCGGCCCGCCGAGGGCGGGGGCACGGGGCGGCGGCGCCCACCTGGACGGGGGCGGGCACCTGCGGCCCCGGCGACGTCAGGCTTGGGATCGGCCCACGCGGCTCCTTCCCTCGCCTCCCGCCGCCGCCCGCGCCTCACCTGCGGGCTGTCCTCCAGAGTCTCCTCGATCGGCAGCTTGTCGATCCCCGGCATCGTGGCGGAGGGAGGGCAACGGCAGGTGACGCGGCGGCCGCCCACGGTTCCCACGCCGACCCACCCACAGCGGCTGACCCCGACCCACCCTCTCTCGCAGTCTTTGCAGCCCGTCCCTCCCGTGCCGCCCTCGCCAAGAGCCAGGCGGTCAGGCGGGAAATCCCGCCCCTTCGGTATCCATGCCCCGCCTCCCGGCGCGCTCATTGGCTCGCGGCGACGCCTGTCAGCGCGGCGGGCTGGCCGGGAGGTTTGTTGGCCTCCCCGGGCTCGGCGGCGGCGGCGGCGCGCCCGGGTTCCGCGGACACCCACCGTGCGCGCTCGCGCTTGGGTGTAACTGGGGCGCCGTCTCCCATCGCCGCGCGCGCCTCGAGAACCAGAGCCTCGAGTGAGGACCACACTGGGCAATTGGGGGCGGCTTTAGTTCTCCCTCAGCATTTTCCGTCAGCGACCATGCAAGAGGCCCTGCTGCTGTTGCCTTCCTTTAGTGTCTCAAACGGAACCTTCCCGACCCTCCCCGAAGCGCCCAGCCTCCCCCTCCAGCACAACGGTGCTGGCCACCTCAGAGGTCTGTGGGATCCGAGGTCGTGTCATTCACCGGGCTTTCCCGGCTCATTCGTGGACAGTAGATTCTACATTATTTTTCTGGACATTTGGATATCAGTTTATTCAGCTTAAAACATGTGACCTTGTCGCCAAAATCATCCATTCTTCCTGGTCTTGAAGGACTGACAAGCCACGATTTAGACGTCCATATTTCTTTAAAATCACAAATGAAAGCACCTTTTAAAAATCAGAATTCCCTAGTCAGTTATGTTGGTGACTGACCAGCACTTGCGTTTGGTGGGAAAGTTTTGGAAGAAGCTTTAAGGAGCTTCTTGGGCCCCTGGTTTTACCGTGGAGAAGGCGCAGGCCGCTCTCGGGACTGGATCTGGACCGGACGTGCAGCCTCCCCATCCACCTGCCTGGGCCACACGCTGCCGGCGTGGTTCCCTGTGGCGCGAGGAGCGTTCCTTGCAGATGAAATGGCAGATCACAGCGCCGCCTGCACATCCAGCCATTCGCCCCACCAGCCCATCCCATTCTCAGTCAAGAAATGCTGGGTATAAAGATGACCAGTTGCCTGGCTCCGCCGGTGCGTGGGAGCAAACCCAGCTACAGCGACGGGAATGGAAGGCACTCCTTTTCCACCGAAGCCAGATTTTCCCACGGCCTCCTGAAGAAGGATGAAGTCAGGTTTTCAATGTTTTCCCAGGTAGACTTGCAGTGGTTTCACAGAAGTAGCCTTCATGTTATAAATTCTAACGAAAAGCTCTCTCCTTGGATTGCTTTTTATCAACTAGTCACCCTCTGGAAGAGACCTTTAGTTTTTGAAAGGTGTTTGGAGTCCGGCCTTACCCAGCGCTGCTGGTTCCCAGCTGCTGAGATGTACCCACAGCACCTCCAGGTCCCAGCAACCCGTCGGTCCTCCCCGATTTCTTTTCACTCCGGCAGCCCAGCGGCGTGCAGCCTGGCTCTACCGAGGAAGACTTGCAAGGTAAGTGACCTGCCTCGTGCAGCTGTGATTTAGATTGTGAGTGTAGGAAAAGCAAGGCAGCGGCCTTTTCTGATTGCCCAGAATCAAGAGAAAGTGACCAGTGAAAACCAAGTGTGAGGAAGAAGAGTCATTCTATGTTGTTGTTGAAGAGAGTTGGCCAGTTGGCCAAACCCAATGATTTCAGTGAAAAATTCCGTTAGGTAACTGAATGATCTGGGTGGGGTGTTCTCATCAAGTTCAATGGTTTCCTCCTTTGTGTGTTATGTGCATCTCAACTGTCTTTTTGTAATGGATTCTCAAGAGGCTACGATATTATCAAGGAGGGACAAGGAATTCTTACCGGGCTCTGCTGATTAAAAAATGAAAAAAAACAACAACAACAACAACAACAAAAAAACAAGTTGACATTCAATTGAATGGAGAGGCAGTTTAGTCAAATCATAAAACTATAAAGAATCTTAACAGGTCTTCTGTTTGGATCCTGTATCTAGGCTACTGTTATATACCCTGCTCGTCCAAAAAGATTATTGTATTTTTTATTTTAAAACATCTCCACAACTGCAGAATTACAGCCTCCTCTGACAACCAATTTAAGTTTAATCAACCGAGATTCTGTACAGTTGACCAAGCTCAGTTCCTTTTACACAGGAAATGAGGCTTGTTCAGAGAGAATGCCTCAGGGGTTACTGGAGACGCACATGTGGGGAGCATAGTAAAAACTTCGGCCAGCTGGTTAATTTTATGGAAGGCAAGGCAGGATTAAACGACATTCACCACACAATTCTTTGAGACGTTTCATACCTGTAATTTACAATAAAAGGACATACAATCCTGTAAATAGATTTGTTAATTATTAGTCTCCTAAAATTATATTTGATCTTATAATTGGGTTTTTACATGATACTCTTTGAAGTTCTGGTCTGTGGTCTGTAATAGAAAAGAATCTAACAACACAAATGATTCTGATACTTTACTTTTCAAAATTATCCCCCTTGGTCATACAAGTCATCTGGGGAAGGTTGTTAGAATACATATTTCTTAGCACAGCTGGAAGGTTCTGATGCCAGAGGTCAGAAATGGGGTGGGAGTTACCCTACATGAGTCAAAGCAAATGATCCTCAAAGCACAAGTTGAAAAACTCCATCCAAAACGGAGAACCGTTTTTCCATTCCAAAATAGCCTTGTATTTCAGAAAATTTAAAGAGTCAAGTAAACATTTAGGAAAAGAGTCCTAGATTCCAGCTGAGAATAGGGACAGAGGCACCATTTCCAGAATCACTCGGAGAGTAGGAGAAGCCTCATCTTCACAAATATCCCCCGAAAGAACCAATAAATCTGAAATTCTGAGGAATTCATACTCCTTTTAAAAGTATAATGTATAATGCAAATAATTCTGGATGTTAGCTAGTAAATCACTTGTTAATGGACTCACTTTAACAGATAATTGTTTTCTTAAATTTTTTAAATATAATTCTTTATTGTTGAAAGTATTACATATGATCTCTTTTTTCCCCCATTGACTCCTCCAGTTGGCCCGCCCCCTCCCCTCTGCCCCAGGCCTTCAGCACCCTATTGTCTGTGTCCATGGGCCATGCATATATGCATACAAGTCTTTGGTTGATTACCTGCCTTCTCTCCCCCCAACCCCCTCTTCCCTCTGAGATTCCGCACTCTATTCCATGCTTCCATGTCTCTGGATCCATTCCGTTCATCAGTTTATTTTGTTACTTAGATTCCACATATGAGTGCAATCATGTGATACTTGTCATTCTCTGACTGACTTATTTCATTTAGCATGATCCTCTCCAGGTCCCTCCATGCTGTCTCAAAGGGTAAAAGATTCATCTTTTTTACTGCTGCATAGTATTCCGTGGTATAAATGTACACAGCTTTTTTATCCACTCATCTACTGATGGGCCCTCGGGCTATTTCCAGACCTTAGCTATTGTAAATTGTGCTACTATGAACATAGCGGTGCATACGTTCTTTCTGATTGGCACTTTGGGTTTCTTAGGGTATATTCCTAGAAGTGGGATTTTTTATTGATTTTAGAGAAAGAGGAACGGGAGAGGAAGAGAGAGAGAGAGAGAAACATTGAATTATAGTTTCACTTATTCATTCATTTGTTGGTTGATTATTGTATGTGCCCTGACTGGGGATCGAACCCACAACCTTGGCATATCAGGACAATGCTCTAACCCCGTGGTCAGCAAACTGCGGCTCGCGAGCCACATGCGACTTTTTGGCCCCTTGAGTGTGGCTCTTCCTAAGCCTTAGGAGTACCCTAATTAAGTTAATAACAATGTACCTACCTATATAGTTTAAGTTTTAAAAATTTGGCTCTCAAAAGAAATTTCAATCGTTGTACTGTTGATATTTGGCTCTGCTGACTAATGAGTTTGCCGACCACTGCTTTGGGCAATCTGAGGGTAGACTCAAAAGTTCTGAGGAGTGGATTTCAAAAAGAGGTGGATGAGCAGCAAGAACCAACAGATTCTTCACTGTGCCACTGCAAACCACCCTCCACCTTTGACCTTGATGTTGATCATTGCTTTTGCTCTTTGCCAAGCATCCTTAAAATGAAAGGCAAATTCTGTAGCTTCCACTTTCTTGGCTGTACAAAGAACTTTATTCCTAGAATAACTGTATATGCTTCTGTTTCTTTTATGGTTACCTTGATTCCTTTTTGGAAGAAGAGGACATTACTAAATTTATTTCTTTGGCCAGGCCAAGAACTTTGAATCAAAGCAGAGTCCTTCTCACTTCTGTGGGGAGATGGATAAAAGCTTAGGTCAGCCTAGCTATCTTTGATTCCTGGCTGTACTCTTTACTAGTTTTGTGACTTTGTGTCTCCATTCTGTCATCTGAAAAATAGGGCCTAATATAGGGAACCTACATTATAATATTGTGAAGATGATTAATGAGTTTTCAAAATAGTCCTAAGTACAATAAGCATTCAATAAAAATTAGCTTAATTTAATCTTAAATATTTTAATGCTTTTAAAGCAGCTTTGTGTTCTTAATTTTCCCTTTTTTCATATCTAAAGAAACCAATATTTCCTATGTTAGAAGATGGTGCTCACTCTTTTAGAGAATCCTGAAACTATTTTAAACATTACCATTACCTTCGCTAGTGTTTTATCACTTTGACTTAGGGGGTTTTTATAGCCAAAACAAAAATTTTTTAATTAATAAATGTGTATTTTTTTTAATATATTTTATTGATTTTTTACAGAGAGGAAGGGAGAGAGATAGAGAGTTAGAAACATCGATGAGAGAGAAAAATCGATCAGCTGCCTCCCGCACATCTCCTACTGGGGATGTGCCCGCAACCCAGGTACATGCCCTTGACCGGAATCGAACCTGGGACCTTTCAGTCCGCAGGCCGACGCTCTATCCACTGAGCCAAACCGGTTTCGGCATAAATGTGTATTTTGATATTCTGGAGAACAATTGTCGATACCAAAACAGCAAAGGCTATTGTGGGGTTTTGGCAGTGAAGAGGAAGAGATGCCCTAAGTTTAAAAGACATGACTTAATGATACTTGTACCCCCACTAGAATTCTGGGGCAGGTTAGTGGAAAAGAGGTGGCCCTTAGAGAAGTCAGTGTGTTTCATACCGTTTAATCATTGAAAACATTTTAATTTTTGCAGAACCACAGAGGGCAGTTAAAAAAAAAACCAAACAATAGTGAGAATTTGAGTAAACCATGGCTAGTGCAAATAAATCTCAGGGTTAATCAGCACATCCTTCCACAAGCACTAGGTGGTGCTATAAATTTAGTTTTGAGATTCAAAGTACTACCTCAGGAAATGGTTGTCTTTATTCCACAAATATTTACTATGTAATGAACAAAATATTAAAAATCTCTGTCCTTGTGAGGATGGTGAGAAGAAAGAAAAATGATAAACATAGTAAGTCATTAGAAGCATAGTATTTTAGAAAGTGGTACATGCTATAGAAAATAGAGCAGGGAAAATGAGATGAGGAGGCAGTTGCAATTTTAAGTAGGCTCACCAGCGCTGAGGCCCTAAGACTTAAGGCTGGAGTGGTCTGGCTTGTTTTCAAGAATTGCATAGAGACCAAGGTGACAGGAGAGGAATGAGCCAGGAGAAGTCTGACTCTGAAGAGGGAGGAAGAAAAGGCTATGTTGTGTAAAACCTTGTGACCTATTGTGAAGACTTTGACTTTTACCTGGTTTTGGATAAAAATACCTTTAATAGAAGTTAAGATTTCAAAAAATGTTGATAAGAACCATAACATTTATTCCCTAGAAACAATGTTATAAATGCCAATCAGGCTCTCCCATTTCATCTACAATGATTAGATTTTTTTTAAAAAATGGAGACAACCCTAAGTGCCCAGGAGTGTTATTCAATAAATTATGGTTCATCCATTTGATGTCTAGCACCAAACAACTGTAGAAGAATGAGATAGAGCTATACATACTGACATAGTGCGTCATAGGGCGAGGATGGGGGTAGGGAGCAGTGAAATACACATCTAGCAGAAAAATACACATCTGACTCCATATGGATAAAAACGTGTCTGTGCGTGTCCACCTATTTATTTGAAGGCATTTAAAAAAGACAGGAAGGAAAGGCACCAAACTGTTAGTAATAGTAATCAGTGGGTGTGGAGTAAAATGGGTAGAATTGGAGGAGACTGTCATATTTAACTCTATTAATGTGGTATTGAATGAATTTTTTTTGAATATGTGTTGATTTTTTTATTTTATTTTTTTTAGAGACAGAGGAAAGGAGAGGGCTAGAGAGGTGAAATGTCTGTTAGAGAGAGACATTGATTGGCTGCCTCCTGCACACCCCCTACTGAGGATCGAGCCTGAAACTCTGGCAGGTGCCCTGACTGGGAATCAAACCAGTGATCTCTAGGTTCATGGGTTGTCACTCAACCACTGAGCTGCACTGGCCAGGCTGACTGGTCCTTTTTTATGTCATTGATCTTCTCACTAAGTTCCTTGAAGTTTCCATTTATATTC